TCCTTTATCTACCTACCTACCTAACTACTCTCTCCCTACCTACCTACTGTATTTCTCTCTCTCTATTTCTCTCTCTCTATCCTTTATCTACCTACCTACCTAACTACTCTCTCTCTCCCTACCTACCTACTGCATTTCTCTCTCTTTCTCTCCCTCTCTATCCTTCTATCTACCTACCTACTTTTTTAAAAAATTGCCTCTTCAAAACCTTGGTGCGTCTTATACTCCGAAAAATACGGTAATTTGTTTTGGCTTAGTGGGTATATGAATAGATACAAACAGTAGATACAAACTATTCTGGAATTAGTAATTCAGCTATATCTGAAAACCATAGATTCTCCAACTTTAATTTAAACAATAATAGTATTAATAACCAAAGCAGCTTATATTTTCCAGCATGATTCTGTTTCAAAATTTATCTCACATGTTTGCTACAAAGATGAAATGTGAATACCCACCGAAATCTTGGCAAGGTAGAAGTGCAATATAAATATGAGGTAATGCAAGTCACTTTCAACCAACTGGACAACTACTGCCAAAGGATCAATGCTGCTTTTAAAAATGTATTCTGGTGTATATTGGTAAAGATAGGTGAGATGCCACTTTGCCTTCTAGATCTTCTATATGTGGAAATTCTAATATAATGCACTTTTCACACCATTCTTTTTTTCTGTTTTTGAACTCTCATCTTGAGGAACATCATTTAAAACAGCATTTGTCAAGAAATCCACAGGCCTATGGAAAAAATTAAAAATGTTACTCATGTCTACTGCAGAACTTCATTTAAAATTATTTATTAAAATCACTGTTGCATAGATTGTAAAACTGTTTTGCTAGTCTTACAAGAACAAAGTTATTCAGAGAGTGAAAGCCAATATCATATAGTAACAAAACACATGACTTAGATATTAATAATGAATGAAATATTTGTGGCTCTTTCTGTAATATAAAAATCAGAATTCTTGGCTGATAATGACAATTGGTTTATTGTTGAAGTGCTGCATTTTTGCACACTAATTTTTATGTAAATAAAATTGGCAAACAAAGCAAATTCAAATAAGGGTTTAAATCCACCTACTGAGATGGCCACATACAGTTTAACAATGATCCTTTATTTGATGAAAACTGTCATGAGCAGGGAAATAGTTTTGATAGAATTATATTGTCACTAACATTGAAACAATCCACTCAAAAAAAAAGGATTAAGCTTCCCCCACTTCTGCTCCAGTCAAAACATCTGCTTCATGCAGCTACATTTCTTTCTAATTCAATGGCTGGCTTTACCATGGAAAAAATCAGTTTATCAGTTTTTACTTTGTTTTTTCGGAATATGGTATATTAATGCTTATTAACTATTATTAATAATAGTAATTATATATTCCCCAATTATCCTGCCACATGCATTTTGGTGGGGATGGTCTTCCTGGGAGAAATGAAGAAAGTATACTAAAGGTGTGTTCCAACATACATAATCCATAGCTAAGGCATGAAGGAAACTCAAATACTTCAGCCAGAAACTTAAATACTTTGGCCACCTAATGAGTAGTTAGGACTCACTGGAGAAGATCCTAATGCTGGGAAAGATTCAGGGCAAAAGAAGAAGGGGACGACAAAATGAGATGGCTGGATGGAGTCACTGAAGCAGTCGGCATGAGCTTAAACGAACTCTGAGGGATGGTAGAGGATAGAAAGGCCTGGAGGAACGTTCTCTATGGGATCGCAATGGGTCGGACACAACTTTGCAACTAACAAAACAACAAAGGCATGAAGGTCTCATTTAAAACAAACAGCACATACAGTTTAATGAACAACAGCAATGCTAGAAGATGTTCAAGTAACCAATCTTATAGACAACAGAAAAGGCATAATTTTTATACAGCAAGGAAGAAGAAATGGTAATCTATACTGTATTTTACAAAAAAAAAATCCATCCTTATTGGATAGATAAGATAAAATGATTAAGGATGATGCGCCCTTAGGCTGGATGGCGCACAGCACATACAGAGGAAGAGCTAAGATGTTTTGGAGTTCTGATGATATTTATGATGTGGCTAGATTAAAACTTTCATGGCATATACTGACCTTACCATACAGGGGAAAAAAACGGAAGCCCCAAAGACAGAATTACAATTGGCACATGGAATGTAAGAAGCATGAATGTTAAAAAACTCAATACAGTGAAAGATGAAATCAGTTAAACTTTGGCATCTCGGGTATCAGTGAATTGAAATGGACTGAAACTCTGCAATTTCAGAATATCATGCTATTTACTAAATAATAGTAAAGATTTACTATTTAAGAGCTGAGGTGGCACAGTGGTTAAAATGCAGTACTGCAGGCTACTTTTGCTGCCTGCTGGCTGCCTGCAGTTCAAATCACCAGGCTCAAAGTTGACTCAGCCTTCCATCCTTCCAAGGTTGGTAAAATGAGGACCCAGATTGTTGGGGGCAATATGCTCTATAAAAACCTTTTGGAGAGGGCTAAAGCACTGTGTAAAGCACTGTGAAGCTGTATATAAGTCTAAATGCTATTGGTAATGCTATTGCTACTATTAAGACATGAAAAACTAGGAAAAAGTGATGTTGCTTTTACAGTCAGGAAAAATGTAGCAGATAGTCATCCACAGGTCATCCACTTCATTCCTCATCATACATACCAAATCTTTGAGGTGCGTCATTTTCTTTTCTTTTCTTTTTTTGGCCCAGGGACATGCAGAACTCATATCAATACAGTCATCCTTATAAATAACTTGTATTTTATGGTGAATTTCAATTGGAGAGACTTCTTTGACTGTGAAAATTCAATTGTAGCATGTTATTCAAATTACACTGAGTTATCACAGGCTTCTATTTTACAAAGAATAGCAACACACACTTTTTCCCCCCAGGAACCTGCTGTCAAATGAAATGAAATAACAGATGCTAAAGAACATGTCAGAGCTTTTGGAGTATTAGTACTGACATCTGTTGGTGGGTTATAGCATTGGAAACATTAATTTTCAATCAACCCTCATATTGTGATAACACTGCATTGTGAACTACAGTTTATTGGCAACTTGAACATAATAATAAATGATACTGTCCTATTCCTTTAATCTGTGCACCTGTTAGCTATCACTTCTTTACAGCTAATGAAAAACTATATTTAATGTGAATCTTACCATGCTTACTGTTAATAGGATATTAGAAAGCTAACCAGCAACAGTTTAAAAGGAAAAAGAAGAAAGACAAAAGCTTTCAAATTTTATTTTATTTATTTATTAATCAAATGTATATAGCCACCTATGGCACTATGGCACTGAAGGCAACCGTGGATAGCACACAAAAATGGATTCCAATCATTTATATATACGATATATGGTGTGTGTGTGTGTGTGTGCGCGCGCGTGCCTGTATGTGTTCGTTCGTTCCAGCATAATTCTGGAACACCTCGAGCTATTTCAACCAAACTTGAACATAGATGACTTACCCTCTGGAAACAAATATGTGGTAGTAAGACACCCCTAAAACCACCTCGGGTTCTTCCCGGTATGGTATGGTATGGTACGCCAGAAGAGGTAGTGAAAAATCTATAGGACCAGTAGTAATAATGGTGTCCTGGCCACGCTCCCGAATCTGTTCTCCTGTCAGAAGCTTTGTTAGAAGCTTTTTTTTTAAAAGGTTTTTTTCTCTGCCAGTTCATGCAAGGGGAAAAAAAGCTTTAAAAATAAGAGAGAGAGAGAGAGAGAGAGAGAGAGAGAGAGAGAGAGAGAGAGAGAGGAAGGGAAAGGAGAAAGAAAGACAGAAAGAAAGGGAAGGAAGGAAAGAAGGAAGGAAACTCACTTTTCATCCGAAAGATTTAGCAAAGGAGAAAAACAAATACTGTCATTTTAAATCGGAACTGAGCATGCCTGGCTGTGGAATTCTGGGAGTTGAAGTCCACAAGTCTTAAAGCTGCAAACTTTGGAGAGTCCTGCTTTAAATTGAAAAGCTGCTCGGAAGGAGGTTTGCAAAGTGACATTCAGCAGTTTGTTTCTGGGTCAGCTGAACAACAAACTAGATAAAAGGAAGGATTCTTATATGGTTCTGTGTTTTTGAAGTTTTGGGGTTTGTGTTTGGATGATACCCTGTTTGTGTGAATGAATGGAGCCAAACTTTCTATAGGCTCATTATATCCTTATCACTATCTGGCAGGAATATGGAATGACCCTCAGGCAGGTTTCTTTGTTAGCAGCTTGATTTTTCCCTTTCTAGGACTAATATTTTTTTGGAGGGGTTGCTTCCCACAGAGAAGGGAGAAAGAAAGAAAAAGAAAGAAAGAAAGAAAGAAAGAAAGAAAGAAAGAAAGAAAGAAAGAAAGAAAGAAAGAAAAAAAATGCACAGCAATTTAGGGCTAGAAGGGTACTCAAAGGTCATCTAGTCCAACCCCCTGCTGCAGCAGGAAACCTTACATTGTCTGGATTATTTTGGTGCCTCTAACAGAGAGAAAAGTTGCAAGAAAGGAAAAGGAGTTTACTAGGACAAGGCTGCCATGCAGAGGAAGGGAGAGATAGTCCTTGACTTATGACTACAATTAAGCCCAAAATTTTGGCTGCTAAGCAAGATCACTTGTCTTATTTTATTTTTACTTTTTAAATTTTCTTTCTTTTCCCTTCTGTAAGCCACCCGGAGTCCTTCAGGATTGGGCGGCCTATAAATAAAATTAAACTTACAAACTATTGTTAAGTGAGCTTTACACATTTTATCCAATCCATGACATCTCCTGTTGAGTGACATCAAGTTGGCCATGCCCATCCAGTCACATGACCACCAAGCTATGCCCACAAAATAGGCCACTCTACAGAATAAGTAGTAAAAAGTTTTGAAACCCAACTCTGCCCTCAGGGTGTATTCTGTTAAGATACAGCCTGTTGTGCCTTAAAATGGCTTCTACAGTATTGCTTCTACGATACAGCACAGTGGAATTGCCATGGTAACGGCTTCACAATACTCCATAAGGGCTCCCTCTGGTTAGGGGAAAAATCCAACATTAGAAATTACATTTGGTCCGGGCATTTTCTCCCTATAAATAAATATCTGGGCATCTCTAGATTATCAACTAGTTGCTTCATAAAAATGGAATGCTAATGTTATATATAATATTAAAATGTGATAAGATTTTGCTGACATATCTTTATATTTACACTAAATACTTAATTTGTCTTGATAGTTGAACTCCCTGGATACAGTGGCTTCATATGGACATAACATTAAGCTAGTGGCAATGCCTGGCTGACTTATCAAAATTTAAAAGGTAAGCAGGCCAGGCCTGGTTAGTGTTTCAATGGGGAACCTCCAAGGAATACCAGTATAGCCTAAGCTGAAAAACATCAAAAAGATTCTCATAAGAAGACAATAGTAGACCACTTCTTTACATGTACATTTCTGTGAAGTCACCCTGGCTCAAATGGAAACATTAGCGCAGCCTCTTCTTAGCATATTGTTGCCAAGAAAATTGTATGTTTGTTGTTGTGCATTCCACAGCAGTTGAGCACATCTCAAAGACACTTTTATGTATTCATAGAATTCATTCATTATAAGGCTGGTTCTACTGGAATTTGACTTATAATTCTGTAGATTTTTGTTCCATTTTTTCCCCCAAAATGATCTGTGGGACAGAAAAAAAATCTCAGCTTGCTCCATATTTGTTTTTCTTTCTAGGTCCATGTGGTTATGATATTTAAATTCTATAATGCCTCCTGCCATGGCAGATATCCTGGACATCTGGGCAATAGATTCACATATAGCAGCTGATAGTTCAATCACTGTGGATTGCCTGCTTCCCACTGGAATTTACATCAGTCTAGAAGTTCCTCGTGATGCCACTATTTGTCATATCAAACAGGTAAAATGCTGCTTAGATATTTTTTATCAGTATTTTTACTAATTAATATTCTTCATATGAATTATTAAGATGTTTTTAAGATGTCTTATGGGTTATTTTTTTTCTCCTATGAGAGCACAAGTCATTTTCATGAAACGTCCAGTCTCAGTAGTGGTTATCTAGCTTCTAGTCATAGAAGAAGAGCAATATAATAAATAATATTTTGAAAAGAAAATAATCCCACTGCATCCCTTAGAGAAGATTCCAGAGGTGCTGTTCTGAACCCTCTGGATCTTTAGGAGTGTACTTGCTCAGCCAACTCTCTCTTCCATTAACTAAATAATAAATGTAGGAGATCTCTGTTTGGTACTGGAAATAAGTCTAATGATTGATTAATAGAGTAAATACATTTGGTTTGGAATTGATTTTTGCTTTCGTAGTTACCCAACCCAGTTCAATAGTTTGAGAAACTTACCAAAGAGATCACAAAAGAACCAATTTGCAGAAAAAAGCTCTTAGAACTTTCTGGTTAAATATAAATAAAGTTTTATAAGTGTCCTTTTTGTTACCGAAAGGCTGTTCTAGAATACTCATTGTAGTAGAAGGAACTAGTTTTCTCTTAAACTCAACATACCAACACATGGAAATTTGATACTTTTTTTGTTCTTTGAAGGCTTGAGTCAGCTGGATTTGATTTAAGGATGTTTGTTTATGCTGGAGTTTGAGTTTGCAAGAGTAGGAAAGGAACATCAATTAATGCTGAATTTAAATTGAAAAAGAATTTACTTTCCAGTTGATTCACAACTGCTACCACAATTTGATCTTATTTGCAGCTATTATGGAAACAAGCACACAGCTACCCTCTATTTCATCTTCTTCTGGAGATTGATTCCTACATGTTCTCCTGTGTGAACCAAACAGCCGTACGTGAGGAACTGGAAGATGAAACCCGAAGACTCTGTGATATTAGACCATTTCTTCCTGTTCTCCAGTTAATTACAAGAAGCTGTGATCCAGGAGAAAAGTTAGACTCTAAAATAAGTGTTCTCATAGGAAAAGGTAAATGTCAATGTTCTTGTTTTGGGGATAACGCACTACATGCACATTAACTTGAGATGAATTGAAGCAAGATAATTATATTTTTATTTTACACTAAACAACCCATGACCTGTTGGGTCATCCTTTTAGGAACATTTCCTTACCTAAACAGAATGACCACTGGTGGGCAACAAAACAGTGGGAGCAGGATGGATTTCGAACTTCCTGTGTGCTTCCCAATTGCTTTTGCTTGTGGATTTCGAACTTCCTGTGTGCTTCCCAATTGCTTTTGCTTGTGGGAAGTCGAACTTCCTGTGTGCTTCCCAATTGCTTTTGCTTGTGGGAAGCTGGCAATGAGCATCAAAAAACCCTTCTCCTTGGCTGGATTACAGAACTGCAGTCACTTTGTGACTGAGGGGATAAATGGAGTCAAGGACCATGAGGAAAACTGTACTCCCCTGCCCATCCCAGCATGTTCCAAAGGTTCCCTCCCTCCATGAGCAAGAGGACATAGTCATCGATCACCAACACTCTTTAGATAGTCCTACTTCACCAGCAGGGATCGGAGTTGCTTTCTCACTATCCATCACCACTAAGATTACAGATTACAACTTTGGTTTCAAAGCAGCCAATTGCTGGTTGTATCTCAGTCTTTGCCATCAACCTATTGGGTATAGGGAGGCAGACGGAGTGTGGAGTTACAACTGTCCCATCTTTCCTTGTATAATGTAATGGATTTTTGGGATGTTTAGTCAAAAGTATAATACTTTATCTATTTATTGGTGAGAACTGCATTAAGAAGTCCAGATACCTGGAAAATTTGGAGAACAGACATGTTCCAACTTGCATAACAGTTTGAGAATTCTGAACTGGGTCAATTTAAATAATATTGTCCAACTTCTTTAGCTCTCCTTTCCTCCACCCCTGTTGCACTTTATACATGAGAATGACATCTCCTCACTTAGCAGCTACAATGCATTCCTTAAATTGCAAGTAAAATGGTTTCTAAGAGAACAGATAAAGATGCCGTGAAGATCACTGGTTTCTACTGTCCCATTTCAATAAACTCTTGTATAGCTGTGCCAGCATTACTCTCATTCTGTGTGCATTGTGGTCAGATGCACAAAATTTAGTTAGTTCATGCAATACTCAGAAAATGATTTTTTTTAAAATTACCATTGTATTTGCAAATAGTAATTAACTAAAATAGCCTATAAATGAGGAGTTATAGACAGAAATGTAAAATGTACAGATTGTATTTTTTTTTAAAAAAACTCTTTTATCCTACAAATGATTAAATATGCATTAAAATTAACCTTTCAATATAAAGAAAATAATGTAATTCTATAGTTATTAAACACTTTACTTTTTAAACCTCATGGACTGTAAAAGGCCCTTAGTATGTGGGTGTCATAAATGTTCATATATTAAATGGACTTTAATGATTATAATAATCAATAAGTAGGTACAGTAAAAGCTTTAATTTTGCTGTTGTTGTTTTTTAAAACACAAAAACAATTTAGGCCTCCATGAATTTGATGCCCTACAAAACCCAGAAATCAAAGAATTTCGGCTCAAGATGCGACAAATTAGTGAAGAGAAAATGCAGTCACTGATGGGATTATCCACGATGAATTGGTTAAAGCACACATACCCACCAGAATTACAACCAGCAATCCAGGACAACTTCCAGGATAAACTTTATGGTGGCAATATTGTTGTGGCTATCCATTATGAAAACTGTCAGGTGGGGTTTTTAATCTAATTTTCAAACTTTTCTATCCTTTAAATAATTTTCACTAAATGTGAAGGAGTTGATGGACATTCTATGAATTTCTGGTCCCTTAATTGTATTATTTTGCAGACAGCTATTTTTTAGAACCAAGAACAGTTTTAAGATCTAATCTGATATGGCATTGCAGTTGATTGAGAGCAAACATGAAAATTCCAAGACTGAGTGTAACTGTACATTTATGTATTTTATATACTATAAGCTGTCCAGAGTCTTTTTGTTGGATGGCCTCAATACCTAATAAATTAAATTACATGAATGATTTTGGATCCCACTCCTTTCATCTCCTTGTTTTTAAACCAAAACACTTTTTTCTGATACCTTCTGAATTAACTGTTAAATTTCACATTAAAGTGGAACATGGCTTTGAGCATTGCAACTTGAATTGTGAAATTACAATATAAATCTATTTTAATTTCTGAATGTCTGGGAATCAATGGCATTTTATGGCATTTTAAAAAGTGACTAATGTAGGTGGCATTGGAAACCTTAATTTCATTCTCAAAAACCTAAGTGCTTATATCTGATAGTTGTTCTCCTGTTGAAGAGTAAAGTAAAAGTAAGTAAGTAAAATCTTTATTACGGTCAAAGACCAGCAATACACATTAGTTTTTACATTATATTAAAAAATACTAACATTAAGATATAATTAAAAAGTATTGACATTAAAAGTGGATAATAACACAATGGTCCAGAGATTATTAGTGGGATGTCCAGATAATTGGTACAAGATGGTACTATACTTCTATAGCCAATTTTTTTGTTATGGACATTGCAGCAGCACAGAACTTTACCACTACATACGTGGTAACCGTGTTAGTGTCCTGGAGGAGAAAGCCTAGATAAAAATTGTCTGCCCTCCCTGGCAATCTCTCTAATAGGGGGAGAATATGTGCAGACCTACAAGCTCTGTATAGCTCGCAGTGTAATAGTACATGTGAATTATCTTCCACTTCTCCTTTACCACATATACAGACCCGTTCTGCTATAGGTGTTCTCTTATACCTGCCCTGGAGGAGTGCTGAAGGAAGAATGTTAAATCTGGCTCTGAAGAAAGCTATTCTTTGTTTTGGGGAGATCAGGTCATTTAGATATCTTGCCGATTCCCACACACCCTGTTTGATTCTGTCCCTACTGGGGAGAGGCAACCTATTTAGTTCTTCTTGGAACTCCATGTCCCTCATTCTATCAATTGCTACTTGATTTGCTTGCTCAAAGCCTAGGGACATTAAGAATAATGGTGAGAGCCCATAAGAGCCCAGCTTGTGATGAATTGCTTGTTTCCAGGGGGAAGAGAAGTTGTCAGTCAACACTAGTGGGGACAGTCCCTCTGGAAAGAAATGCATTTTAAACCAATAAATGATCATCATCTTCCAGGCTCTTACTTGAATTTGAGGCATGCCTGTCTCAATTCTTAACTGGGCATTTGGAGTTCCATTGGGTGCAGCCAAGATGGCTCGCAGGAATTTTGTTTGTATGGATTATAACAAGTCTCTCTTTGCAAGGATTCCTGTTTGTGCCCTGTAAAGAATTTGTGCCAATGTTTTGGCCTCAAAAGGTTTTAAGGCAGCAGGTACTAACTGACCTCCACCTGTATAAAAGAAATGTTTGATTGTATTTGAGGACCTAATGGCTACTTGCAATGTGTGATCCAGGTGTGCCTTCCATGTCCCTAGCGAGTGGAAAACCACACCAAGGTATCTAAATGTTCTAACCTGTTCCAAACTATATCCTTCTATTTGCCAGGAGTATTGGCTTGGTCTTTTAGCAAAAACTAAAATTTTTGATTTATCGAAGTTAAGGACCAGCTTGTTTTGCCTGCAACAGCCGAGTGTTGCCCTAATTGCTCTCTTCAGTCCTATGGGGGTTTGTGATATGATCGCGGCGTCATCAGCATATAAGAGAATTGGCACTTTGCATTGTGCTAGGTTAGGAGGATGAAAATCAGGGTTCTGTAAAAGATCAATCAGGGGATTAATATAGAAGTTGAAGGAGTGGGACAGGATGCAACCCTGCCGTACCCCTTTTTGTACCCTTACTGAGCCGGTTAAACTCCCTTGGGGGTTGCACCTCACTTTTTCAGGGTGGAATTGGCATACAATTTTTGTATGAGGAAGAGGAGGCGTTTATTGATAGTGGTGCATTTTAACTTCTCCCAGAGGGTTATCTTGGATATTGAATCAAAGGCCTGTTTAAAATCCAGGAAGGCCACAAAAAGAGAGGATTTTTTTATATATGTATTTTTGTACTATGATCCACCGTCGATCTTCCTTTTCTGAAACCGTCTTGTTCATCTTTGATTATCTCCCCTGAAATTAGACAATCTTGAAGTTTATAATTTAGGTGTTTGGCATACAGTTTACTAATAATGCTTAAAAGACTAATGGGTCTGTAGTTGCCTGGGTCATTTCTATTCCCTTTTTTATAAATTGGTATGATAATTGCTACTCCCCAATCTCTAGGCATATGGCCTGTTTTGTCTATAAATGTAAACAGTGATGCTAAAAGTGGAGCCCACCAACTGGCGTTCTTTTTAATTATTTCTGGTAGGACATTATCAGCCCCGGGTGCCTTATTAGCCTTTAGGGCTCCAATCAACCGGGATATCTCTTCTGGTGTAACAGGGGGCCAGTAAGGAGTTTGGGCCAAACTAACTTGGCTCTCCTTAGTTACATAGTCAGGATCTGTATAAAGCTCCCTAAAATACTCTTCCCAGGCATGAATCGGAACCTGATTTGTTGGGGGTAGGGGAGGAAGATTGTTCCTTTCAATTCCAGACTTAACCATTCATATTAAGATAGCTGTAGCTTATGTCTTGTCCAGTTAAAACAGCAATTTAAAAAATAAAAGATAGCATAAATGATAGTTACTAACAAAAAATGTTTTGTTTCTATATGCATAAGAGTAAAACAGATATCCTCTAGTTGTCTGAAAGTAAAATTATATTATTTTTTTCTGAGTGCTTAAGATTAATCAATATAATGTTTATGAACCTGCTTGAATATATTTATTTTTGAATATAATTTTGAATATTCTTATTTTCTTTACAAACAAAAATTGGGGGCGTAGAGAAATTAATTTAGCTAAGGGCATATTAACTCTTTCTTGCCATGTGTTTCCTGACTCAAAAATTTCCATATCAGCTGATATTTGCAGGAATTGTAGTTTAAGAGGAATTTATCAACTGGGAAAATAGCTTTTTTAGAAAAAGTTAATTTCAACCCCATCTCTCCTAGAAAACTTATTAATATTTATGTTAGATTTTGTTCATTAATGTATAATACTTAAACTGTGTGTAGAGCTTTATAGAAACAGGTGACTCCTATGAAATATCAACTATATACAGAAAACATAGCTGATGAGTTTATTTTTGAATATTTGCTATTTCAGTTTATGTCTTGGGCTTTGGCAGAAACTTCAGAGAACATAACAGTTTTGAGACAAATACATTTTGAAACTAAGAAAATATTGAATTGATTTTGACTGACTTCTTCATTTTAGCTATGATATTCCATCATGATGTTTGGCTGCTTACCAAAAAGCTGATACATAAAGTCCCAGACAAAAAATAAAAATAATAAAACCAAATGAAATGAAAACTGAGCTATGATTTACATTTGTCAATAATTGCTTTTGAATCCTTACATTTTTTTCTAGAGTGAAAGCTCCATATGTCTTTATAAAACTATTTTGTGAATGTGGAATAGACACTGCTAGGAGGATTCTTAACAGCAAAACATTTTTCTTGCTTTATTTTAGTTGTATAGTGTTGGCATATTTCTGGCCAATTTTGAAGTGTCTGTAAGAATCAGCATTTGAACTCCGAAATACCTTTAAGAAAATTTTAAAATTGTTTTTCACAGAAGTTTTTAAAATACTGAAACATAAGAGTTTTTGTTTTTCTCTGTAGAATCAATTTTGTTTACTCTTATTTTTATTCGCCATATAATAACTCTTAATTAATTATTGCACAGGATTTATATAATAATGCTATGATAATGCATAGAAATTATAATATAATATTTTATACATTTCTATGTTTAATAATAATTTAATATATTTTATTAACAATTTAATAAATAATAATTTCATAAAAAGAAATTAAAGTCTTAAAGCTGAAAAAAGCTTATCATGGGAACAGAAGATTTAGAGGCCAGATAAGTGATAAGATAGCATTCATCAAAAATTTGAAAGGATGTCAAAGAGAAGGTCAAATGCTTTTTTGAATACATTCTTGTAGAGATTACTCAACCCATCTTTCTGAGATGCTTTTAATTTAAATTCTGAATTGAGCAGGATGTGGGTATAAGAGTTTTATATATGGTGTGAGTTTTCTATATCGTATGAGAGCCTTTATGAGTTAAAAACATGTCTATAATACCTCTAGTTATCAGTGACTTAACCTGTCAGATAAATTATGTCAATCAAAAGTAATTTTGTTGAAAAATATTTATCAATCTAAGTCATTCTTCTACCAGTTATATAGTGTCTTTTTCACCTAACACAAAAGATAAGTTAAAATAATTATAATTTCATAAACAAATTCCTTTTAATGCTTGATAATAATACATTCTGTCTCTTCTTAATAGGATGTATTTAGTTTTCAAGTGTCTCCAAATATTAACCCTATTAAGTTGAATGAATTGGCAATTCGGAAATGGTTGACTATCCATGGAAAAGAAGATGAAGAAGTGGATCCTTGTGATTATGTGTTACAAGTTAATGGAAGAATGGAATATGTTTTTGGGGATCATCCATTAATTCAATTCCAGGTAGCTTTCTCACAAAATAATTTGCCAATTTGGAACTTGGAAAAACAAATTATATATAAAATATTGATTTAAACTGTGAATAATATTATTGATTTTTTTTCTTTTTAAGATAAACTAATTTGTTAATGCTAGTACACATGGACTTAAAGAGAGAAAGAATTTCATATAAAGGATTATGAGAACTTTGTTGTCATATTAATAAAAAATTTATAGTATTATACATGTCCCAAACAACATTTTAAAACTTAAATATGTAGAGGTGGGAGCAAATTATTTAGTTACAACTTTGGATGTATTGCTTAATTGGTAATAAAAGTATAATCTTTTTTCAACATACTCTTATTTTCTGAAGTTCTTTGGCCTTAATTATATTTTAATATATGGAAGTACATACTGTGTTTTGACTGTATATATGTATTTTTACCTCTTAAAGTGAGCAAAATAAAAGTATACAGAACTGGAATGGAGTAATATTAGTATTAATAATTTATTAAATTTAAATGCCATTAATGTGGTTTAATAATAATGATTATCAACATACTGGATGTCATAACAAAAAACCTTAAATGGCACTTGGAAAATCAGCGGGGTGACATAGTTTCCATCTGTCAATTGAAAAAAGCCACACTGCTTGGATCCACATCTATAGCCTGACTATACATTATGACCTCCTTAGGAAGAACTTGATGAGAGAGAGAGAGAGAGGGAGGGAGAGAGGGAGGGTGAGAGAGAGAGAGAGAGGGAGAGAGAGAGAGAGAGAGATAAAGGCCAATAGCAGCTAAAGAACTGCCAAGTGTGGTTTCATATTGTCGTGATCAGATAATAATTTATTAATCTTACATAAATATAATTTAAAAATTATTAAATTTATATGCCGCCTGGCTCCCAGCAACTCTGGGCAGCTAAATGTGATTTTAATTTACTTAAGATACAATGTGTATAGTACTATACACTACACAGTAGTATGGAGCTGAGGTGGCACAATGGTTAGTGCTAGCTGCAGTTTGGCAGTTTAAATCTCATCGGCTCAAGGTTGACTCAGCCTTCCATCCTTCCAAGGTAGGTAAAATGAGGACCCAGATTGTTGGGGGCAATATGCTGACTCTGTAAATCACATAGAGAGGGCTGAAAAAGCACTATGAAACAGTATATAAGTCCAAGTGTTATTGTTATTGCTACACATGCAAATTAACATTTTCTTAAGATTAAGTTATTAAGTGCAGTTAATTAAGTTACCTATATTTAATAATTCCCTGCTTCCATTAGAACTTTTACAGGAGCTGCAGGGCTCACATTCTGTCTTCGGGAAGGAGCACAAAGGGCCCTTGGGACTTTGCACAGTCACATTCCTATTTGAAATGCTCTATGTAATTCTGAACTTCCAAGTATAATTTATAATAATATAAATATATTTATATTATAAATAAATTACATATTTATAATATATAATTTTCTTTTTCAGTATATCCATTGTTGTGTAATAAACAGAGCTCTTCCTCAGCTGACACTTATTGAATGCAGCACAATTAAAGCAATGTATGAACAGGAAATGATCGCTATCGAAGCAGCAGTAAATCGAAAATCAAACAATCTTCCTCTTCCTCTACCACCCAAAAAATCACGTGTGAGTTTTCATGCATATGTGTGGATGTTACTATTGGGGGAGGGGTATTATTGCTTTAGACCTGAGGTGAGGCATTTATTCAGAGAACTCTGATTGCTATCCAGAGATTTTCAAACTATAATACTGCAGTGCCTTAGAATGATAAAATATATTTGTGTCCTTCAACAAAACTACTTCAGCTGTCATAGTTTTGGTTAAACCTATGGAAGCCCACTGTAGACTTGTTCAGGTAAGACGGGGGAGTTTTATCAGTGATTCCAGTTTGCCTAGAATCGTGTTTTTTTAATTTGAAATATCCCCAACCCACAATGTGCGAACTTTTGAAGTAAACAGAATTTATGACTTCAGTTTAATGTTTTTGATCTAATCTGCTGAAATGTTATTTACAAAAGAGAAATGATTCTGATAAGAATCCTAACAGGTAGTTTTGCATTTTTTCCTGTTATTGAATTGGAGGGATGAATTACTGTATTAATGCCAGACTTCTTTCTGGACTCCCTGGAATAAATGATCTCTGATTTGGGCTTATTGCCTGCAAATGTTCTGCAGTTACTCAGCGCTTCCAAAGTGGATTGTCCTTTTTTACACCTGGAGCTTTATCCAGTGTTGGACAAGCACTTCCATTATATCCAAAACCACTCCTACCAGATGCTCTACAAATTAGAATTGTACTACTAGTATATTGATTTTGAAATGTCTATGTACAGTATATAAGTATTACTTAAAGAGAATGAAAATAACACAATGCTGTTTTCTTTCTACCACAGTTGACTCAAAGTGTCTGGGAGATTGGCCACCCTTTCAAAATTTTGCTAGTAAATGGTAGCAAATTGAATACAGAAGAAATTGCCAAAGTAAGTAACTATTTTCCAATACAAGAGATACATTTATCTGTTCATCCCAGTACATTTTGTATATTATGAACATACTTGAGTTATTATTTAATTCATGAGCAAAGCTATAGATTTATATAACTTATATTATTTGATATTTAATGTTATTTAATGTTCCATTTACTCATTTTACAAACTATGGACAATTCAAATTGAGTCATACATAAACATTCTTTTCTTTGGTAAGTATAAAAGGAAATGAACCATTTCCTATGAACCTAAAAAAATCCTCCTTTTAAATTACATTGTTTTAGTATTAAATGCCATTAACGTGTTCAGTAGCTTAGAGATGAATTGCTTTGAACAATTTAAATAGAGTGATGCCCAAGTACAACATACAAATGTTTTCTTATATTTAACTACCACAGAGTCATGGAGGATGTGTTTTATTGTGTGCCTATTGATTTCTGCTCAATTTGTTTGAGTAGTTTTACAGAACAATTACTTTTTAATTCATTCTTGTGCTCCTTAGTCTCTCAATAGCTTTTAGTAGTGTTCAGCATGGCATCTTTCTGAGATAGCTCTGAGGTGAAGGGATTGGGGACACCATTCAGGGTGGTTCTTTTCCTTTGTCCAGGGCCGGTTCCAATAAGTGTTGGTTATGGAGAGGATGTTCTCTGAGCCCCTCGTTTGTGGAATGCCTTTTCCACCTCCTTTTCAACATCTAGATGAAAGCAATAAGTGATGAGAACCCAGGCATATCTTTTGACACACACGCCCAGGTCAGCAAAGTGAGGCTGTTGAAGTTCTGTCTCAGTGTCTCTAGATTGTCTGGGTTTGGCTAGGGAGGGACCATCTCCAGCTCATCCCTTCAATACCGAGTGGTTGTGATTTTGTGGGTCACTAAAAAGTGAGGATATTTCATTTCCGACCTTGAATGCGGTTGCCTTTCCCAATTCAAGAGTGGTGTGCATTCTGGATTCACAGCTGGAATTGCTGAACTCACAGCTCCTGCTTTATGAGTAGAAATGTCAGAGAAAGTTCAAGGATGTCTAAGAAGGATGTATTGGTTTCATCATAGTCCCAACAGTGCTCATCAACAAAAGCAGTCCGGCCATCTCAGTTCTATAACCAGGCCCAAATCCTGATTGAAAAGGATCCAGATAATCTGTTTCTTCCAGCCCCCTCAGAAGCTGTAAGCCAACCATTTAGTCAACAACCTTCCCTAAAAAGCGTTTCTCACATCTCATGCCGAAAAGTATTCACCACTGCCTTTACCCAACCACTTGATACTTCCCAGAACAGTTTAATCAGCTAGGAGATATGAGAATTTAAACCACAGATAGATGAATTCACAGTACTGAAGACTCTGTCCATTTCATCAGGACCAACAGGCTCAAACTTTTCCCAGATAACCAGACTAGATTGTGCCTCAGGTAATTCTTGCAGATCTTGTTGGATCTCCATTTTCATTCATTTGTCAATATTTAATACATTGTTCCTGTTCAAGTCTTGTACAGTTATGCTCATAACTTAGAAAGATTTGTCACCACTAAAAGGGTATATACAGGTAGTCCTTGATTTACTACCATTTATTTAATGACCATTCAAAGTTACAATGGAACTGAAAAAAATGACTTATAACAATTTTTCACACTTACATCCCTGTGGGCATCTGATCAAAATTCAGATGTTTATGACAGTGGCAGTGTCCTGGGATCATGTGATCACATTTTGTGACCTTCCAACAAGAAAAATCAATGGATAAGCCAGATTTACTTAACAACCATATTACTAACTGAATGTGGGAGGAAGGCCATAAAATGGGACAAAACTCCCTTAACTATCTTGCTTAGAATGGAAATTTGGGGTAAATTGAGGTTGAGGGCTATCTATATGCCTGATTTCCATTTCATTAGAATTTGTTAATAACTATTTTCCTTAGGTTAGCATTTGTTTTAAGCAAAAATACCACAAATCATAGTTTGTTTATATATTGATAAAAAATTACAAATGTAAAAGTATCTTAATTCTATCAGAACTTTCTAAATGTAATTTTATTACAAAACTCTGTTTATCAGTGAGACATGAGAAGGTTTTGAAATTGTATGTATGTATGTATGTATATGTATATGTATATGTACCTGTACCGTATTTCCCCGAAAATAAGACAGGGTCTTATTTTCTTTTGACCCCCGAAATAAGTGCTTGGCCTTATTTTCAGGGAGGTCTTATTATTCTTGAGATGCAGAAGGCAGTAAACATGGTCACCTCATGGCTGCTGCTGTGTTGCAATATTTTCAGGGATGGCTTATTTTCAGGGGAGGGTTTATTTTAGCGCATGCACTCAAAAGCCTGATTGGGCTTATTATCCGCAGAGGCCTTATTTTCAGGGAAACAGGGTATATGTATATGTATGTATCAGTGGTGGGTTCCGGAACCAGGTGCAATGGGGCCCGGTGTCTACCACATGAACATGTGCAGCACACACGTGCAGCGCACGCATGCGTCCTTGCCTCCTGCGATGCTCCAGATGCTTGGCGGAGCGTCGTGCAGGTGCTGTACGCTCCGTGTGCGGAAGCGCCGAAGAGCTCAAATACCGGTAAGGAATGCGGGCGGGCAGGTGGGCCCTCCGGAGCACCGGAACGGAACGGTACCCGGTGTTCCCAGCAGGCACCAGTATGCCCATACATTATACACACACACACACACACCACCTTTTTATTAAAAAAACTCAAAGAAACATACCTAACACTCTTTGGCTGTGATAATGCCAACAGAGATGGAAAGTTTATTTTAAATCATTCTTGTTCTCAAAATGTAAATTAACAATTACATAAAATAAATTTGTCTCCGTACAGCAGAATTTTAATAATGCATGGTATTATTTGTTTAGTTGATACAATATTTTAAAATAATTTTCTATCGTGTACCTTGTAGGTTCATATCAGGGCTGGCCTCTTCCATGGCAATGAACTCCTTTGTAAACCTATTGTAAGCTCCGAAATAACAGGGAGAAATGACCATGTTTGGAATGAACCCTTGGAATTTGACATCAACGTCTGTGATTTGCCGAGAATGGCTAGATTGTGCTTTGTGGTTTATGCTGTTATGGATAAAATGAAAAATAAAAAATCAGCCAAGGCACTGAATCCTTCCAAATACCAGACCATGAGGAAAGCTGGGAAAGTGGTAATGAAAGCATTTAATTCCTTCTTTACATTCCTGTTCGCAGCAGGGTACTTCATGTGTATCTGTGTGGCTGTAGATATTTCAGGTTTCTATTTCCCTCTATATATGCTAAGATATTAAAACTCCTGAAAAGCTATTTCAAACCAGCCATTGTTTCTTTCAACCTAGTCTATTTCACGGGATGGATAAAATGAAGGGAGAAACTTCCCATGTTCAGTGATGGAACCCGTCAAAAGATATACAGATTGTCCTTGACCTGTGACCATTTATTTGGTCAGCAATGGTTCCAAATTAGAATGCTTCTGAACAAATTATAGTTATGACTGGTTTATGGAGTTCCTAGCCATCCCAGCACCACCATCCCCCGCTAAGCACACTGTTACAGTTTGGATGCTTAGCAACCCGTTCACACAATCAGCTGCCAAGCATCCCAATCATGTGATCGTAACCTTTTCTGACATTCTGCAGATTGTCAATGCGGAAGCTATCAGAGAAGGTTGCAGGGGAACGTTTCCCTCACCCGCGCACCAGTGGTGGGTTCCTATTAGTTTGGACCAGTTCGGCTGAACCAGTAGTGGTTTACTGGCCTGGGTCACTGGAATAGTCAGCAACCCAGACCGGCCACGCTCCCGAACTGGTGGTACCATCTTGATTTTCGGTTCTGCGCATGCGCAGAACAATTTTCATTGTACAAATTTGCTTTGGTTTTTAATTTTTTTTTAACATTTTACGCATGCACAGACCTATTTATTTGCAGATGCATAGAGCGCATGTCAGGCATGGGAGCGAATCGAGCACATGCACACAAAATTTGTGAACTGGCAGTGATGCTGACAGCAACCCACGCCTGCTGCGCACCCTTCCCCACCTGGTTAGCAACCACTTACCTGCTCGAGGAACTGGGACATGCAAATTCATGCCAACTTTCCCCATTGGCTTTGGTTGTGGATAGTCATCAGGAAGTTCCCTTGCATAACAGCCATGGTATTCAGTTAACAGTGACAAACAGGACTGCAGGAATTGCTGCCACTGATAAAGTCACATTTTATGACCACACTGCTTAATGATGGAAATTCTGGTTCCAGTTATCATTGTAACTCAAGGGCTACCTTGCAACTGAAATAAGAATATGGTTTTTGACATTTCAGGTTGTTTCAGCACTTCATATTTTGTTTGCATTTCAATAGTGTTTCCCTAATATTTCCTGTAATAAACATTAATCTTAACCTTTTTAATGTGCGTTTTGCGCACTAAAATATTTTTATAGTCTAAAAAGACAAAGGCACTTCATTCTAAAAAGATCTTTTATTGGGCTAATTAAATTTAAAACAAGTGTGCTATCTCAGTTAAACTAGTCTAGCATGTTAATGAAGTATAAAATGTTAACTATAATCAACTTGAATATTTTTATATTCATCTTTAGGTTCATATTTTTTGTAAAAGTTTATTTATTTATTTACACTTGCATCTTTTCTATCAGGGTGCTCACTATTTACATTCATTAGCTTTTTATCCTCATAACCATTTGCAGTTGATCACATTGAGAGAATAGGGCTGGTCAATCAGTGGGAAAATAAGTTTGCTATAGTTTGTGCCTGGGTGTCCTTTAGTCCCATAGTTCAAGTTGCATTGTTCTTGAATGTCTTTTAAGATCCCTCCCACCATCAGCAACTTAATTAGTAGCATTTTCCCCCTAATGATTGTACCTTTGGATTTGTATATCTCAGTGTCACTGTACCGGTTTTAATTTTCAAAATATTTGGTTTGTCTTTGCAGCACTATCCTGTGGCATGGGTCAATACTATGGTATTTGATTTTAAAGGACAGTTGAAAACTGGAGATCTTCTTTTGCACAGCTGGTCATCATTTCCTGGTGAGACTGGTGTTGCTGTATGGGCACCTGCATAGCTTCCATTGATTTCATAATGACTGAATTTGCTGGGACTACCTACTCTAGAATGAAAGGCATGCAGTGTGGATTAGGATTAATGCAGTATTAGAGAACAGGATGAAGATCTGTAATGTATAGTTATAAAAAAAAGATTATTGATAATGAAATACTGACAGGAATGATAATCAGTCCCAAATAGAGAGCTCTTTTCGCTAAGATGAAATCTTTCCCTTGGCTACCAGTGGTAGAAACTTTCTGTTAAGAGATGGATATCTTATGGTGGCTAGGTTAATACTTAACCTTTGCAAGGGAAGCTGCTGTGTCAAGAAACAATGCATCAGACTTAAAAGTTGTTGCACATAGGTGATATAATTAGTGCACGTTCTGAACCAGTTTTTGAAAATTAAATGTAAAGCACTGTAGATCTCTTAAATGTTTCATTTTCATTAAAATAGGTTAGAACTTGTTTCTTTGTCACTGTATTTTAAGAGTAAGATGAATGGAAAATATGTATGTGTAGGGACTAAATATACTGCCTATGTTTATTTTAATACAGGTATACAAAAGATTTAAAGGCAGATAACATTCCAATTTTGAAATATCCCATTCTGATTGTAACACAAGTGACTCAGTCTCAAAAAAAAATCCATTCTGTGAAATAGAGGAGTAACCATTTTGACCCTGGACCACTTCCAGTAATGTTATACAGAATATTTTGCCATTGGAACATTTCCAGTGAAGTCAGGGTGTTTCACCCTTGAACTGTTCAATTCACCTGTGTTCAGAATATTTACATTTCCATCTAATTTCCAATTAGTTTAGAACTTCCATTAGCTTATATGGAAATACATTGGTTTCTGTTTCTTTGAAGGTTGTTCAATGATCTGTTGGCCCTCATAGAAGCAATTCAGTTAAAGTAATCTACCTCTGTTTATAAAGTTTACTTAGCATCGGAAGCATAGCCATGAGGATCTTGAAATGTGTTTATATATTTACAGAAATAATGCCCTTAAACAGCATGTATCGTTAAACAAAATGTGTGTTATTCTGATTACCTAGATGAACTTGAAGAAATGTTGAATCCAATGGGAACGGTACAGACTAATCCATATATTGAAAATGCAACAACTTTGCAAATCAGATTTCAAGAATATTCAAAATGTCCTATTTATTACCCCCCTTTTGATAAGGTAAGGACTCATGATAATTTTTGCCTATGCTTTCACTTCCACACCAGTGCCCCAAAATACACACACCCAACATACTTCTTTGTCCAATTGTATTGTTACCAGGGAATTTACAACATAGCTAAAGAACTCACAAAAAAGCTTGGACATCTCACAGAGGGGAGCAAATATTCTATCAACTCCCCCTACAGTGACTCCAGAAAATCAAAGAACTAATATAGAAGGTAAGATGATGGTTTCACTCAATCTCACAGCACTCCTTACATCCATAGATTCAGAACCAGGGGAAAAATGCATGGCAACAGTACTATACAATATACCCAAAATAACAAGTACACTAAGATTGACATATCAAACCATAGACCTCATCAACCTCTGGCTCGCTACCTACTTTCAGTACAATTGAAATCACAGGGACACACTCATGGGATCACCGCTTTAAGGATTCATAGCAAAGACTGCAATGCAGCGTCTAAAAACCATAGCACTCCCATGCATACAACCAAAAGTGTGGATCTGGTATGTGGACAACAGCTTTGCCATAATAAAAAAGGAAAAACTAAAGAAGAAATGAAGCAATCAACACCATCTTCAAAGAAATAAAATTCATATGGGAAAAAGATAACAACAATGCACTGCCCATCGTGAGTGACCTCATTAGCAGAAGAAATGGTGGCAAATTAGAAAAATAACTTTAAGGGAGAAACCACCCACACTTATTTAGTGAGCCACTACCAAAGTAACAACCCAACCTTCCATGAGGAGAGCAAAACTTATTCAGATAAGCCAAACCACTGTGGCCACCCAGAACTAGAAAAAGAAAACAGATCATCTAAATATCTTCTAACAAAAAAGAATACCTACACAACTTTATCAAAGTGCCTGACTACTAAACCCACTTCTGCACAACCACCACAAGCTATAAGAAGGATAATACTACATACATTAAAAATATCTAAGAAATAATCAATCTACAGGCTATTGCAACCACACAGCATCACCAGCACACACACCAACTAAATCCCTCTACAACATCTTCAGTAAAAACAAAAGACCCAGTAGCCCAAGGGGGAAAATAGGAGTTACCTGCAACATACAAAATAAAATCTGTAACAGCCACTATGCAGGATAGACAGAGTGCACCGATAAACATCAACTTGCTGTCAGAAGACACAATGAAAAATCCTTAATTTCACAACACACCAACTTAATCATAGTTTCATCCTAGACCATACTAAATCCAAAATTGTTGGGGAATTCCTGAAAGCTTGCCACTCAAATCAACCATCATAGACAACATTTATACTCTGTTCAAGAGACAAGAGCTGTTAAAAAAAGATCAGAACATCACCTCACCAGCAATCAATAGCCAAATAAACAGAAATTAACATGCGAATTAACCCCAGACAATCAAGCAGTAAACAACAGCCTAATCAAGGAAATAACAAGAAGAAAACAACATCCTCATTAATTCTGACATGGCAAGCCACTGTATATAAACAACAAACTCTACTCCTTTCTAGCCCTGAAGATTTTACTTAACCGGGTAACAAAATATCTGCAAGAAAACAACCAATTTCAGAGACCATATGGACTCAATAGTCACTTCAGTTTTAAATCTATGAGATTGTCTTCAAAACTTAGGTTGGAGAGAAGTTCTTTTTGTGTGTGTGTGTTTGTTTGTTTATATAAATAAATTTATATATTTATATAGATAGATGAACAAAGTTTCTATGAGAAATCTTTAGCTCTTAATCCTGCAGATATGCTACTGTGTAGCTGCAGAATCCATATGTATGTTTCAATATGTGGGGGGGGGGTCATTTAAATCACAATATCTAAAATGTGCAGATCATTTGAATCTACAGTATCTTTGGATAGAAAATCTACTTTGTTCCTCCCATCTGTAAGAGGGATATAAACATACATTTTAAGTTGCGAATGGAATAGAAGTAGCTGAAAAATGAAACAATACTACAGCTACAACTTGAAAACTTTAAATTGACAAGTTGCATAAATGGTTGTCTAAAACAATGGTCCCCAAACTTTCTGGTTTACTGGCCTGGCAGGGAAGGGGAGAGGATGTTTCATCTGAGCACAAGGACAAATGGAACATTGTGCAGGCTCTAGGTTAGAGAACAGTATGGAATTTGGGCCAATTTGATGCCTATTTCCATTCTACTCTTTCTGCTACCATCTGCTGCTAGAAATGCTGAAGCAAATGAATTGAGAATTTGAAACCATGAGGAATTTGAAATTACACTTTTTGTCATAAACCTGTCCCCAGTAGAACCTTGAATTTTACAGTCTCAAGTTGAATCTTTGGCACATCTAGATAGATCTGGATAAAAAAAATCCTGCATATTGAGCTAGAAGGGCTATTGGGCAAACCGAATATAAGTTTCCTTCTCCTTTAATTAAAAGTAAATGCAACATTCCAGCCAGTATAAATCTGAAAAAGCAATAGTACTTAAACTTATATACCGTTTTGTAGCCCTCTCTAAGCAGTTTACAGAGTCAGCATATTGCCCCAAACAATCTGGGTCCTCATTTTACCCACCTTAGAAGGATAGAAAATGGAGTTAACCTTGAGCCTGGTGAGATGAACTGCCAAATTGCAGGCAGCAGGCAATCAGTAGAAGTAGCATGCAGTACTGCACTCTAACCACTGCGCCACTGCAGCTCATTTTTACAATGTTCACATATGCGATTTCAAGGTCTGCATTCATTGTTTAGTATTTACATTTTGTTGCAGACCTTGTTTATTGTTGGTCCAGTGAATTTTCTTACAATGAAATAATGGAACCTGATTCATCTTAAGACATGATGATATAAGATGCAAATTTTGTATCTGAACAAGGACAGGAAGAGCAATGTAAATGACATTAATTACCTTACATGCACATGTTATTTATCAGGCTGCACAGAAACCAGTTAATCTTTAATTCTAATATTGTCTGACCTTGTTCAAGTGTGTGTGTGTGTGTGTGTGTGTGTGTGTGTGTGTGTGTGTGTGTAGGAAATTTTAAATTTAAACCTAAATTTCTTAACATGAGTTAAATTTTCTGCAGATACTTGAAAAAGCAGCCGAGATTGCAAGGAACAGTGATTGTTCTGGCATGCCAGTAAGTATCGAAGATGAAATAATTGCCATTCCCCATTTAAAAAAGAATGTATTTATTTTATGTATTTGCTTTTACCATGTGCTAGATGCTACTATTCAGAAATAATTTGGTTAAATTGTGACATTCTTTCAAAATTGTATTTCTAGTAAAATGCATAAAAATCCTGCTCGTTAGCAGCCCACTAAATTTTGTGAAGTGAACCAGAAATTGTGAACATATATGAAAATGAGAGTAAATTAATTCATATAAATACGTATTTTATTGTACTTTTCTATGTTTAATATTTAGAATTATTAAAGCTTTTAATAGTGTAAGATAACCAATGTTTGTTAGCTCAGTAGAATGTTTTGACTTAAATATTTATTATATATGAACTGTTCTGAAAGCACTATGTTTTGATTGTTACAGCTTTTTGGATTAATAAAATTTATTAGTAGACAATAGTCTGTAGGTGTTTTATATGAAATAGTCAGAAAAGAAATGGTTTTAAATCAATGAAATTTGAGCATAGTTCTGCACTCTAATTTCATGATATATGAATGAATCATTGTCCTTGCTGTCACTTTTAAATTCCTTGCTCCTTTTTTCCCCTCTTATTTTTAATACCCTTAAATTTTTATTTAGCTTTTTATTACCCATAGCTTTCTAAGTCAGTTGAGCCAGGAGTTGGAATTGGCTGAGGCTTGGATATCACGTTCTGGTTTATTTAAATAAATATAGCTTGAATACAAGACAACATGGCAAATTGTGGGTAAATAAGAGCCTAAGTGGATGCTTCTACTTTCCTTTTTATCACATTGGATAAGCCACAACAGCTCAGGAGAAGACTTAGTGTACTAGGCATAATTCCAAAGTTTACTACAGGTTCATAGCAGCAAGAATAAATTTAGCACAGCATTGGAAAGGATATAAATTACCAAAAATAGCAGACTGGGAACTTAAACTTGGAGAATATACAGTAATGGCAAAATGCAGCAAAGCAAGTATAAATATCAATAAATAGCAATGCTGGATGGGGAATTCTGGGAGTTGAAGCCCATACAGCTTACAGTTGCGAAGGCTGAGAAATATGTACAGTTTTTAAAGGGGGGGGATCTAACTAAAGCACTAAAATCAAAGATACACACACAAAAAATGAGATGTCTGTAAATGTTGTACATTAGTCAAAATATGATAAAAGGCAAGTTAGAAACTAATGTTTTAAAATTTTTAGTAGAGTTTCCACCCTCCCCCCACTTTTCTAGGTTTATTGTTTATATTGTATGTTTGAATGTTGTATGGTGGGGGAAATGATTTTTCCCATTTTTAACACAGTGTTGAAACATAAATGTCAAAAGTGCTGTTGGATGTTGACTTCATGTGGAATTCTTCACTCTCCTTTAATCCGTACATTTACCTTTAAATAATACAAACTTTTGCTTTTATCCATTCTTTGAATTTTAAATTCAAATTCACTTCAGCAGAAATTTCCAAAGGAAATAGTAAAATAACAATACTGCCCCTTAGTGGTCTTCATTGAGAAGTGTATATTTCATGAACGACAATATTGGCATTTGTGATGTATATAAAACTTGTAAAATGAATATGATTTGATAAACATTTACAGTTTTACACTAAAACAAAGGAAGTATCTGTTATGGTCCTATGGCATTTGCAGCAATACTAGAACATAAATGCTTGTTTTGATATATATGTAAAATTTACAGAATGTTTGCTTGAACATTTATCAACATGCAACCCTCTAGGGTCGTGGTGGCAAAAAATTCTACATTGAGCTAAAGGAGATCATGGAAAGGGACCCCTTATCTCAGCTGTGTGAAAATGAAATGGATCTCATTTGGACATTACGATTTGACTGTCGTGAAAATTTTCCACAATCCCTGCCAAAACTGTTGCTTTCTGTGAAATGGAACAAGCTTGAAGATGTTGCACAAGTAAGACATATAGCAAACTATGTAGAGCAATAGTAATACCAGGGTAAAAGCGAATATTTTTTTGCAGGAATATGGCAGGTTATAATTTAAATGGGATATTGTTAATTGGAAAAATCTAGACATGACAATTATTTACAGAGGAAAATGTTCTAATTTCATTTTCATCAATTTTGTTCAAAAAATGAAAATGTTATTGTAAACTGCTTTACCAGTATTTTTTCATTTGTAATTTCTGTCCAATTTCTCTTCTGCAGTTTTTGCATTATTTTTAAATCAGGTATTTGGAGGGTGAGAGGGTGAAGGGACATCATTGTTAGTATACAAACATGGGTAGAGTTTCCTTTTCCAAATCAGTCTTGAGTAATTGTAGCAGAATAAAATGTAGATACATCAGAGCAATTCCTAAATGTAGTTCATTTACATTTCATCATGTGCAAGGAAATTCAGTATAAACAGTAGTCAAATCTGGATATTATGATATAGTGGCATTGCGTTCCTTTTTGATTTGCCAAAAATGTTTGTGTTTCCCCAAAATTTGACTGGGTCTTATTTTCTTTTGACACCCCCCCCCTCCAAAAAAACAGCTAGGGCTTCTTTTTGGGTGGGTCTAATTATTGACTCACTGACTCTTCAGCAGCGGCACCAACAGCCCCTCCCAGCAGGAACCTGCTGCTGGCCCACTTCTTCTGTGGCCACTTACCGCCCTTTCACGAGTCACCTCCAGCCTCCATTATGCCATCAGAGCCTTCCAGAAAGTTATCTGCAGCTGAGAAACAGGTTCTGGATTGACACACATGGCACCCCCTGACTTCTGTTTCACCTTCATATCCCTTCCAGAAAGCCCTATGTAGCCAATAAAAGAGTTCCCCATCCCCACCCTAACTTAATTTTCACCTGTGTTCCTCGCCCCACCTCCTGCACCCTGGGGTGTGTGGGGTATTAATTAGGGCTAGTTTTGGGGTTAGACCTTAATTTTAGTGAATGTGTTAAAAACATGATAGGGCTTCTTTTCGTTACAGGTCATATTTTTTGGAAAACATAGTAACTTTTAATTTATTAATTCTTTTAGTACTTGAATAGCATTTACCCCAGTGTTCATAGTAGGATTTTTAGATACTGTTCTTTGGACCAGCTGCAGAAATCTGATTGATGTGCCATCCAGTTGTTTTCAACTCCAAGTGACTGTATAGATATATTTTCACCATGATGATTTATCTCAAAACTGGCCTTTCAGGTTTTCCAGTTGTGCAAAAGAATCTACCATATTTTTCAGAGTATAAGATGGACCTTTTTTCCTCAAAAACGAGGCTGAAAATCTGGGTGCGTCTTATACACCGAATGCAGCATTTTTTTGCCTCCCAAAGCCCCGCCCCCTTCACCAAAATGGCCATGCATACCCTTATGGAAGCTTTTAGAGAGCTCCTGGGGGCTGGGGAGGACAGAAATAAGCAAAAACGGGCCTTTTTTGCCCCCACCCGCAGCACTCTAAGCCTCCATAAGGCTATGCATGCAAATTGTTTTACAAAAAACAGACCCGTTTTTGTGAAAAATGGGCCATTTTTTTTGCTCATCCCCCCCCCGAGTACTCTGCAACCCCCCCCCTCCCCCAAGGCTGTTCATGCCTTTTGTTTGAAAAAAAATGGGCCTGTTTTTGCAAAAAACGGGCTGTTTTGGGAAGTTTTGCAGAATGCAAAAACTTTTTTTTTCCTTTTGGAAAGCTCTTTAACTGATTGATGAGAATTATAATGATCAAGTGCTGTGCAAGCAAAAACAAGGTGCGGCAGATTGTCAACTATTTTCTTCTCCAGCACATGAATAAGTAGAAACATCTACTTACCTACCTACCTACTCACTCTCTCTACCCCATCTACCTACTGTATTTCATACTCTTTCTTTCTATCCCTCTACCTACCTACCTACCTACCTACCTACCTACCTACCTACCTACCTACACTCTCTCTTTCCCTACCTACCTACTGAATTTCTATCCCTCTACCTACCTACCTACCTACCTACCCTCTCTCTCCCTATCTACTGTATTTCTCTCTATATCTTTTTCTATTTCTCTCTCTCTTTATCCCTCTACCTACCCACTTACCTACACACTCTCTATCTACCTACCTACCTCTTTCTCCCTACTTATCTACTGTATTTCTCTCTCCATCTCTTTCTATTTCTCTCTCTCTATCCCTCTACCTACCTACCTACCTACCTACCTACACACACTCTCTCCCTACCTACCTACTGTATTTCTCTCTCTATCATTTTATCTACCTACCTGCCTAAGTACTCTCTCTCTCTCCCTACCTACCTACTGTATTTTTCTCTCTCTCTGTCCCTCTCTATCCCTCTACCTACCTAGTTACTTTTTTAAAAAAATTGCCTCTTCAAAACCTTATATTCTGGTGCATCTTATACTCAGAAAAATACGGTATTTAAAATATTACTGCCCTAACATTATTTATAATTTAAAACCTTTTCAATAATCTAGTTGTATAAGTAAGATAATGCCATAAAGAATACTAATTGTCTGTTAATATTTTATAAGAGCAAAATTGTATATTGCATCAACCTTATTACATTCAGAAATGTATTAAATTTATTAAAATGCAGCTAGAAGATGATAAAAAGGTAGCTGAAAGTGGCATAGTTCATTAATTTCTGAAATTAGGAGAAAGATTCCTAGTTGCTGTAATTTTCCTATTTATAATGGGAACTTTTTTTGTAGATACTTTTGCTCTGAATCAATATAATTGATTGTCCTGTAAAAGTATTATTGTTTTGGATTTTGGTTTAAGAAAGGAAAGCTTTGAGCCCAGATGTGATAAGTCCCCTTGTTGGCCTCTGACCAACACTCTTAGATCAGCCAGTACCCACCTGGGATGTTGATCTAGCTGGTCAGCATTTCCCTCCTTATTCAAGCTCAGAGAAAGAATGTAAACAAGAATTGGCTGTATTTTTGGAATCTTTTTGGCTCCTTCTCAGGTCATTGAGCTCTTGTTTCCTCTAAGGGTCATATCACTTAACTTTTTCTAGTTCAATAACCTCTGCCTCTAATTTTAAGTTTTTTTAAGCATCATAATCCTAGTGGCAACAGAACAATATTCCATATGTTGCACACATTTTTGAATGCTTGGATTCTGTTATCTGATATTGTATAGATGAAGCCAAATATACAGAATATTAAATTCCATGTTTCCTGCAAGGAAGGGCTCAAGTTAGAGCTCTTTGGTGCTCAGCATGTTGAGTTCAAGTGTAAATTCAGGGATACATCAATGCTCAAAGTATCCTTTGTATTTGCACTTTTACGATGGGGCAACTAATTTTAATATTAGCATTTAATCAAATAAGATACAACAGATAACAGGTTGATAATATGAAACTATTTCCTATACAAAAATAACTAGTCCTTTGTTAAATTAATTGCCAAATAGCATTTGTCCCTGTTTTTAGAATTTGCAAATAAACATAACTGAGCTAATTTGTGTCCAGAGATTAAGGGGATTATACACATCTCTTTCTTTTATGTATCATAAATGTATTCTCTAATATCTCATTTGAATTTCATTTGATTTGATTTATATGAACTACTACCCCTTTGTTTCTCTTTTAGTATTTTACTCTGCAGATCACCCTGTTTTTTCTACCCTCTGCCACACAGGGTCTTTATTCTGTCACAGGTAGAGAAATAATGAAGAGCTTTCAAATCTCCCTCTTTTACATCACTAGAAGGAAAAGAAACAAATGAAATTATTGACATTTTCTCCAACTGGCTAGAAATAGGAATATTAAAGAGTCAGAGTTTGTGCTACCATTCTCCTCCTCATTAGTTTGAACTGAGGAATGGAGTCTTAACTGGTGTCTCTTGCTATATTATGTTTTACATCTCTGTTGAACATGTTTCCTTTTGTGTATGTGCGGGGGCAATATTTATTTATTAACTGAATAAATGTTGTTTTTTAGATTTATATTCAGTCCTTCCTCCAAGAATTCAAGGCAGCTCAAATGGGATTTCCCTTCATTTTATTCCCCCAAAAAGTGAAGTAGATTGAGCCAGTTCCTTTTCTCTCCCTCTCTCCCTCCCTCCCTCCCTCCCTCCCTCCCTCCCTCTCTCTCTCTCTGTCCAAAGTCATTCAATGACTACAATGCAGAGCATTGGGTCCAATAGTCCAACTCTATTTATAAATGAATTCTGCTCATAAATATTTTAGTTATTGAATTTTGCATATATTATGTTTATTTTCTGAACAGCTTCAGGCTCTTCTTCAGATATGGTCAAAACTGCCTCCCCGAGAAGCATTAGAATTACTAGATTTCAATTATCCTGATCAATATGTAAGAGAATATGCTGTGGCCTGTTTACGACAAATGAGGTGAGTAGTGTGGTAACTTTATCCTAGTAACTGGCTCACAAGTTGGATCTCAACAAGAAAATCCTGTGGCTTTTACCCTGAGTGAAATAAATTCTCCAACTCAGGAAACAATTCCAGCTGTAGGCCAGGCTAAAATCCCAGTTTACTGATGATATCAGTAAGATCAGTCTGGGTGGTCCTCCTTTGGGAAGTGGTGTCTAGTCAGGAGAGGACAAGTCTCCCTTTTCTCTCTGGGGCAAATGCTACAGCATTGGAAAGACACAGATGTTTTCAAAATGCCAATTTAGAAAGCATCCAACTAATGTCCTATGGAGGTGAATCTTCGCAAATTTAGGATTATGTCATGTGAAACATACAGGAATGTACACTTGAGCAGATGTGCAACAGATTTGGTGTGTGTGTTTATATAATAGGTTTTCCAGGAATCTGTTTATTTGTTTAATTTTGGTTAAAGCATAGATTTATGTATTCAATGAATTTTTTTTCAGAAAAATCTTAACTATTATCAGTGCAGTGTTGTTGGGTTTTGTGGCCTTGACTTTTCTGTACAGTGCTGTATATGATTAATAGCATTTCTTATTTATTTCCAAGGCTAAATTGCTAACAGAATATTTTGACGTCCTTAAAATGTAAACAAGGGGTTTTTCCCTGTAAAACTTGTCTAAGTTTGATATAGTATACAGTAATTCGAGAGGATTGTTTCTACTGAGCATTGGCATATTGTAAATTATTTCATAATTTTTTCTGTTTTGCGTGTGTATATATCTTTCAGGAGATCATTTGCATTCAGCATGTTATGTCAATTTTTGCAGGCATCTTCCTTTCTAAGCAATATATAAAACAGAAAGAATGTTTAAATAATCTCAGTTGACAAAAGTTATAAATGCTAGAGTCTGAGAGCGGAAATGCCATAGTTACCAGTACCCTCTCTAATGTTGTTGTAGCATTATAGTAGTAGTGTAGTAGTAATTTATTGGTCTTGTATGCCGCCCACTCCCGAAGGACTCCAGGCGGCTTACAATAAACAAGGGAAGGGGATAAATAGACAAAACAACAATTTAAAATACACAACATTCATAGTTACTGTGGGGCTGGGTACTTCAAAGCCCCCCCGGCCTGCTGGAGAAGCCAGGACTTAGTGGCTTTGCGGAAGGCCGGGAGAGTAGTAAGGGTCCGGATCTCCATGGGGAGGTCGTTCCAAAGGGCT